ACATCATTGTACAGATGCATATATATACACAACTCACGAAATAGGTGAACAACAAACTTCGTGAAGATAATGGAGAACGTGACTGACCAACAATGAAACCTGTCCTACTTTATCTAACCAACTAAGTGTCCCACTTTGTTTAAAAAACTAAAAAATAATTAAAAATAATAAAATAAGTATATATGACTGATCTTCCATAAACTTAGGAAACCTCTGCCTTCTTCGTTGTAACTATTTCATCATTATCTACACCAACAGAGTTATGGTTGAATTTTAATGGGTAACAATTCTTTACAACCTATTCCTTTGAACATTTTTTCTCATAGATGCTTTAGGTGATTTTGCAATGATAAGTTTCAGATAGTTGATATCCATAAGTAATCATATCTTATTGATTTCATCTTTGTCACACTTGTGATTCTAGGATGTTGGTTACGATGAATTAAAGAGAATATTTGAAGTATTTTTTTGTGAAATATTATTATTGGTCCTCGTTTCACTTTACATACTGGCTGCGACAAAGTGCAAATGGCATGTCAAAGGATTTACTTATTTATTTATATCTTTTTGTTTGTTGATAAATATTAAATAACGTTGGGTTTTAGTTCAAATAAAAAAATAGAGAGCTATAATAAAATAGATAAATGTAGAAATGTTGATTTCCTAAAAAAAAATCTTTATCGTGATCCTCTTATTTTTTTCTGATTCACTTTTCTTACGCTCTGTAAATTTATGATCCTTATATATGCTATAGTTGTTCTTTTTCTTCTATTGTTGTAAAAATAACTTATCTTTGTGGATTTATCCTTTTGATATTTTTTCTTCTCATATTAATTATTTTGTTATTATTAATCAATTTTTACCATTTCAGATTGAAAACATTGCGCAGCAAGATATTCAAGATTTAAATGAAAAAGGTATTTACAAAAAAGTTGGATGCAACATACAAATTATCCATTTTGTCTTACCTGGAGAAACAAGATGTGATTCATAAATCAATGTCATCTACGACAATTCTTGTTACAGATGCGAAAAAATGCACAATTTAACATCTTAGTTCAGAGGAATAAGAAAATTCAAGCATGACAAATAAATTTAATCCTCCTCCATAAACATGACATAAAAATGAAAAACCTCCCATGAAAAAGAATTAAAAGGTACTTAAATTATTTTATAAGTTGCTTAAAATTATACCTTTGCAATTGACAGAAAAAATATTATATACTTATCTATGTATGTGTTTTTTCTAAATTCAACTCATCTCTAGAAACATTATTCCTTATTGTTTTGAAGTGCAGTTGGAACACTTTTTGTTGATAATTTGAAAACAGTTGAAATTACTTTTGTTGTTGCTAATGGATATCTTTTTTTGTGCTCCTTTGTTGCTGCCATTGGGTATCGTATTTTGCAAGCTTTTGATGTTTCTATTAGATGCCTTATGATAAGGAGAAAATTATTTCTGCACATACTATGAATTGACAATATCAAATTAAGTGATTACTCATTTGTAATAAAGGGAGAAGATGATGAACTTATTTTTGGTGACTTTATGTGTAACTTTCTTATCTTGCAGAAATATATACTTGTTCAATTTGAAAAGATAAAGAGACGATTTTATTTTTTATATCTGTTTTATTTATAATTCAACCAGGCTTAAGTGACAAAATGATTTTTTTGGTTTTTAGAATCCTCCTTTCAGTAGATAAATCTTTAAGTGACAAATAGATATTTTTTTTTAAATCACTTTTGATTTCTTTTTTTTCTCCAAATATGTAATCTCATTCCCCTAAACCCCCTTTCTTCATCTTCTTCTTCCTAAATTCAACCAAGAACATGAGAATCTCTCAACAATTTCGTTCTAAAAAATTTCATTTTATATTTTCTTATTTTGTGACTGGAAATTTTTTATTTCTTAGTAAATTCATTCCAAATTTTTTAAAGAAAAATTCTCTTCTCCATTATATATATACACAAAAAAAAAAATCTCCCATTATCATAACCCATTTCCTTTATCTTTTTCTTTTCTTTTCTATTATGTATTTTCTTTACGAAAATTCATTATATATGTAGTAGGAAATATAAATATAAAAATTCACTTTTTTGAAATATTTATTTCTATTGTAGTCGGAGAGGATCCGATAATTTTAAATAAAATAATTCTATTATTTATTTCTCCTCTAACGGATATAGTGCAAAAAAAGTGGGAAAAAATAAAATCATTATGTACTTTGTATTAATATTAAATGATGGATAAAAAAATAAATTTGATTTTCAAGGAAGAAGAAAAAACTAAGTAGTTTACAAGCCCTACAAAAATTATGTTTGTTTTCTCAAAATGATTTGGTGATGATTGATGAGGGGTGGTCAATGGTGGTAATTAAAGAAAAGAGCGAGGATGAAGTAGTAAAAAAAACCAATAGAGAAGGTAGCGAAAGATTGCGGAGAGAAAGAGCGAGGCAGATGAAGAAAATGAAAAAAAAAGAATTAACAAAAAAAGCTTCTAGAACGCGCTTAAAATTTGTGTTACACAATTACTATGTTGAGTCAGCAAAAAGTATTTGTATGACACTGTGTAGCCTTATATAAAGTGTTTAAAATGAACAAAATTCAATTAAAATGTCCAAGTGAAATTTTATGTCAATTTTAAGGTGTCACTAATGGATTCACCCTTTATTCTATTTATAGGTGTATATTTGGTGGTCACATATTCTTAAATTCAATTTTACTTATAATTTTTAACATATTTCCTTCAACGTGATAAATGTGTTTAATTGTCCAATTTCCATATTTAATTGTAATCACATAATTTGAAATTTCAATTATGTTATTAAATATCATATCACTTAGTTTAAATATTTACTTTTAAAAATTTGATAAGTTCTCATCAAAAAAGAGTCTTAAACAGTTATGTAGTCCTAAACTACTCAAACTCTCCGCAAAACAAAGTCCTACGTGTTTAAATAATTTGGATTTTTTTTTTGCGTGGAAAGTTAATTTAAATATTTAAAAATGATAGTTTGTCACAAAAAAAGTGTTGATTAAAATTTATTTTTATGTTTTAAAATTAGTGCCAACAATCTGCAATTTTCTTTGCTATAAAGGAGTAAATTCAATATAATTATTTTGATTAATAAAATTAATTATGTATTAACAATAACACTAACAAAAGACAAAGTTTCAACATACTCATCCATATAAATTAGAATGTCTTTGACAGTTCAATTAGTTTCCAAGCATGCAGTTATGAGGAACAACAAAATTTTTGTGAAGAAATAACAAAATATGTCATTGTGATGCATTTTTTTAATTCAGAAGATGGTCAAATATCACTGGAACACAGAAAAAAATGAATAAGAGAATTTGTATAAACCACAAATGAAATCATTCACTACATAATTTTTCTTAATCCTTTCTCTGCCTTCTCGGTGCATTGAGACTGTTAGGCGTACTCAATTCTAAGACTGGTCAACGGACCGGAACCGGGTCACCGGATCGGAATGAACCGGTACCGGACCGGACCGGAATCCGTTGATCGGAATTTTGACCAGTACCGGGATGAACCGGACCGGAATTACCGGGATGGTTCATCGGTTCCGTCCCGTTCCACTATATACCGGGACGGAACCGGAATGAACCGGAACGGACCGGGATGGAACGGGACGGAATTAACGGGACGATATTTTTTAAATTACGAAAATATAATTTTTTTTATTTTAAGTATAAATTAATAGTTTTTAAATTTATACTATAATTTTTAACTTAAGTTTATTTTAAAGATATTTTATTAATTTTTTTTATTATTGTTAAGTTTGCAAGTAATCTAATAAAGTTTTCAAAATTTAAATCTTTTGAAGTTTATACTTTATAAGTTATTACTTATATTTATTAATATTTATTTTATAAGTTATATTTATAACTTGTATCTTGTAAATATTAAATAAATAAAATTTGTAATTTTAAAAAAGTAAATTAAATTACAAAAATTAAAAAATATCAATTTAATTTATTTAAATTTGTAACAAATTACAATTTCAATGGCCGGGATTTTTGAAAAAAATTTAAATTTTAAAATATAATTTATAAAAAATATAAATATAAATTATATAAAATATAAAATATAAAAAAATTAATATATATTAAATAAACCGGACCGGAACCGGAACTGACCGGACCGGACCGGAACCGGAATGAACCGGGATGAACCGGTACCGGTACACCGGTACGAAACTACGGTTCCGTCCCGTTCCGTGTACCGGTTTAGAATATCCCGGCCCGTCCCGTAGGCAACCGAAACGGGACGAACCGGAACGGTACCGGTACGTCCCGTTCCGTTGCCCAGTCTTACTCAATTCTCACATGAATCATCTTTCTTAAGATCTTGTTATGAACCTGCTTGTTGACTTCAACACTAATGGCATGTTTGGTAACATTTCAAACACGACCAATACATTTATGATAGAACTTGTGAGTCATTATTTTGTGAACTATTGCTCTAATTAAAATTTTCTTTGAGGAGAAAACTAATATACAGTAGTGGGCAAGAAAAATGGAAAGTTAAATAAATGTGGGCTTGTTAAGTTTATATATTTTATTTTTTAAAAAATCGTCGGGTTAATTTTTGAACCGCTTTAAATTTCTATTTTGTTTTTAGATTGTAATTCATTATTTAATATAATTAAAAATTAATTAATTGATATTTTAAAAATTAAGAAAAAAGCTATCACATATAGATGTTTCAAATAATTAATTTTCATTGAAGAATTTATCATACTTTAATCAGTTACAGGCTTACGACTATTCAAATTCACTGTTTTCCAAATTATTATCATTATGTTATTTTCTAGAATTATTCTTTCAACACATTGAATCACCTTTTCATAACCATATAAATACGAGATTGATGGATAGTTAGTTAAGGAGGAAAACGTACCTAATAGAATTTTAATCCACTTCAAAGAAGAGAAAGATCTCATGCAAATTGCATTTGGAAATATTCAAAAATGACAAATGGAATTGTGAACAAATTTTCCAAAGATGTGTTGATGTATCTTATTCTGAAGCTCCCAATAAAGTCTATATTGCGATTCAAATCCATTTCTAAATCCTTGTACAATCTCATGCAATCGTCAACATTCATCAATCTTCATCTCAATCATACCACTTGTACAAAACATGAAATAATTCTCTTCAAACGCTCCATTAAAGAAGGACACAACGAATTTAGAAGTATCATGTCGTTCCTTTCTAGTTATCATGATAACGATGATTTTTACCATGTTTCTCCAGATCTAGATGTTCCACATTTGACTTCCACTACTTCATGTATTTTTCATAGATTCATAGGTCCTTGTCGCGGTTTAATTCTTCTAACAGATAAAGTAGAGACAGTATTATTTAATCCAGCTACTAGAAATTATAGGCTACTCCAACCTAGCCCTTATGATAGTCCACTAGGTTTCCATCGTTCTATCAATGGCGTTGCATTTGGTTTTGACTCAATTTCAAATGATTACAAGATTATTAGGCTAGCTGAAGTTCGCGGAGAACCACCTTTCTACTGTTATACTGTGGTACAATGGAGAGTCGAGATTTATGAATTGAGCATTGATTCATGGAGAGATGTAAATCATGGCGATCTACCATTGCCTTATGTGCATTGGTATCCCTGTGCTGAGTTGTTTTACAAAGGTGCTTCTCATTGGTTTGGTAACGGTAGATCAATTGAGATGCTTGCTTTTGATGTAAGTACAGAGACTTTTCGAAATATTAAAATGCCTCATACTTGTCATTCCAAAGACAGAAAGTGTTATGCACTCGTAGTGTTAAATGAGTATCTAACGTTGGTTTGTTACCCATATCCGGGGTGTAAAATCGATCCAGCAATAGATTTCATGGAAATTTGGGCAATGAAGGAGTATGGTGTGATCGAATCTTGGACTAATATACACATTATTCCACCACTTGTAATCGAATCACCGTTGGCAGTTTGGAGGAATCATATATTGTTTCTTCAAAGCATAAGTGGACATTTGATTTCTTGTGATCTTAATTCTCATGAAGTCAAGGAATTAGATTTAGATGGTTGGCCTGAAAGTTTGAGAGTAACAATTTTCACCGAAGGCTTGACTTTAATTTCAAAAGAAATCCAACATAATAGTACACAACTTCAATAAAACTTCAACACCACATGTATTCATTTGGAAATACTTTTACACTCTTCTTTATTCTTTTGGTGTTAAGTAGCTTGACTTATAAACTAGTCCAGTTATTACTAATGCTTATTGTGTCAATAAATATATTTCCTTGTGTTTAAAATTTTGTAAAAGCTTATATAGAATTTTCTTTTCATGCACGATAGTTAATACTTAGTTTAGTTTAAATTCTTATGTTTCATAGGCAAATAACTTCAGCTTTTACAGTTTCTAAAGTTCATACCTTTCAAATTTGTAAAAACAAAATTTAAGTTGCTTATAAATCCAAAAATTAAATAAAATAAATCCTCATGTGATCACTCAAACTTATTGAAATTGCATAACAAAATCGTACATTTATAAAGTTACTAACCGTTCGCATATTTACCTTACAAATTAACTATCACTAAAGAAATGTTCAAAACAATCTCTAAGCTTTGACACTTGAATTAATATACCATTTCATTTTGTTTAATGAAAATTGATCTAAGAAAGGCCTACGATATAGTGAGTTGGGAATTTCTGGAAGAGGCACTAATGGGGTATGGGTTTCCAACTAGGTTCATTCATTTGATTATGATGTGTGTAACTTATCCTATGTTCATAGTGAAAATTGTTAGGTTATTAGCATTTTAATATTAATATGTAACATATTAAATTGTTTTATTTTGGAGTTATAAGAATGACTATTGGTAGGCATTTGTGTTTTAAACTACCAATTTAATCATGCTATTTATTTTTGACTTGGTAGCCATGTAATGTCATTACTTTTGGCTTTATTGGTTGAATTCATTGTGAGATAAAAACATTCCAATAAACATTAAAATGGATAACTTCTATATCATCCATTAGCATTGATTATTCATCACTTTATTTCATTCTTAATTCCTCCATTACTCTTTGTAACATATGTAATTCCTTTGTAAGTTATGTAACCTATTAAACTCCTAAGGCCATTATCTTCACTATTTACTACCTCCATTATCTTTCTATTCATTGCTAGGAAAACTTCTTATAGTATAAATAGTGGTGGTCTTCATTTGGTTTGGCACACACAAAAACACAAGAGAAAACAATGAGTGAAAGAGTTAGTCTAAAAGAGAGTTCTTATAAGTTGAAGGGATGTGTTCTTTTTTGTGGAGCTTTGAACTCAACTCTAGCCTTTGTGAGGCTAATGGATCCCAAAATCACAAAGTTGGGTAAGAAAGTTACTACTTGTGCTTTTCTTAGTTATGCTTCAAAATGTACAACTTGCAGATTTTTTAATCTTGAAGATAATATTGTAATAGAATCTAGTGATACTATTTTTCATGAAATAAATTTCCTTTTGATACTAAAAATAGTGGGGGTCAAAGGATTGAATAAAATATTTTGTCACTACCTAGTTCTTTTACTTCAACTTTGAAAAATAAAGAAGTTGGTGATTTTGAGTTAAGAAGAAGTAAAAGAGCTAGAGTAGAAAAATATTTTGGTCCTGATTTTTATGTGTTTAATGTTTAAAATGACCCTCTAACTTTTAAAGAAGCATTATCTTCACATGATTCTATTTTTTTAAAAAAGAGGCTGTAAATGATGAAATGAAATCTCTAATTTCTAATAAAACGTAGAAGTTGATTGATTTACCACCGGGTCGTAAAACAATTGGTTGCAAATGGATCTTAAGGAAAAAGTTGAAACCGGATGGTTCTATTGATAAATACAAGGCTAGACTAGCTGCAAAAGGTTTTAAACAACTAGAAGGCCTAGAATTTTTTGATACTTTTTCTCTGGTAATAATATTTTTGATTTGCAAATTCATCAAATGGATGTAAAAACTACTTTTCTAAATGGATACCTAAATGAAGAAATTTATATGGACCAACCCGAGTGTTTTGTTGAAGCAGACCAAGAAAGCAAAGTATGTAAACTTACTAAATCCTTATATGGCTTGAAACAGGCACAAAAGCAATGACATGAAAAGTTTGATTCTTGCATGATTGAAAATGGTTTTAAAACAAATAACTGTGATGAGTGCGTATATCATAAGTCTTGGAATAATTCACATGTGATCATTTGCTTATATGTTGATGATTTGTTGATCTTTGGCTCTAACATGAATGTTATTGATGAAGCTAAAAATGTTCTTAAAAACCATTTTGATATGAAAGATCTTGGTGAGGCAAAATTTATTCTTTGGATAAAAATAACAAGAACATGTGAGGGGATTTTCCTTGACCAGTCACATTATGTTAAATTTTTTAAAAAAATATATAACTTTCATAATTGCAAGCATGTTGCTACTCCTTTTGATTCAAGTGTTCACTTATTTCTTGTTGAGAGTTAAAATGATGTAATAAATCAAAAGGAATATGCTAGTATAATAGAAAGTTTGAGATATGTGACTGATTGCACTAGGCCTGATATTTCATATACTGTAGGAGTACTTGGCAGAATTACAAGCAATGCAGGTAATGAACATTGGCATGCTACAACAAGAGTTATGAGATATTTAATTGGAACAAAAAATTGTGGTTTGTTCTATAAAAAATATCCTGCTGTACTTGAAGGCTTTTGGGTGGAGTGTTAATCTTAGAGGAGCACTCTTGACAAATTTCACATATGTGATGTGTGGAAGTAGATCACTTCCTATGAGAATGAGGCTTATTCTCAAATGCACTCATGAAATCGGAATAGCACATGACCATAACGTGCTGGCTGTTAAAGCTCATGTCAACACCTTGATTATTATGTGTGAGCAGTTTATATTTTATTTCCCTTAAGTAGTCATAGTTCAAGTCTGAGACAACTACGACTCTGGAGTAAAAGTTACTGTTTCACTAAGTGGAGGTTCAATGCAAAGCACACCTTCATTATGCATAGTAGTCTTCCTTCAACTGATATACTCTCTTATCTAAATATTAAAATGAGTGGGGGATTGTTAGGTTATTAGCATTTTAATATTAATATGTAATATATTAAATTGCTTTATTTTGGAGTTATAAGAATGACCATTGGTAGGCATTTGTGTTTTAAACTACCAATTTAATCATGCTATTCATCTTTGACTTGGTAGCCATGTAATGCCATTACTTTTGGTTTTATTTGTTGAATTCATTGTGAGATAAAAACATTCCAATAAACATTGGAATGGATAACTTCTACATCATCCATTAACATTGGTTATCCATCACTTTATTTCATTCTTAATTCCTCCATTACTCTTTGTAACATATGTAACTCCTTTGTAAGTTATGTAACCTATGAAACTCCTAAGGCCATTATCTTCACTATTTACTACCTCCATTATATTCCTATTCATTGCTAGGAAGACTTCTTGTAGTATAAATAGTGGTGGTCTTCATTTGGTTTGGCACACACAAAAAACACAAGAGAAAACAATAAGTGAAAGAGTTAGTCTAAAAGAGAATTCGTATTAGTTGAAGGGATGTGTTCTTTTTTGTGGAGCTTTGGACTCAACTCTTGTCCAGAGTTGTTGAGTTATACTTTGTGAAGGCTGTTGTATCATGGAGGGACAAGTCAAAGAGGACTACTGCTGGACCGGTAAAAACATTTGTTGCAGTGGGCTTGAATCTCCTTAAAGACAGCGAGATATCTGCGCCTCAGCGTGAAGAGATTAATTTCTTCATTTTATTTTTAATTGTAATCTTGCAATTTGATTATCTTGTATGTTTTTTCAGTAACAAAATTAATGTAGAGCATGTTTTTTCCCTTGAAAAAGGGGGATTGGACAATGCAATCCCATATCCCCACTACTTTTTGTGCTTTTCATGGATTATCTGTCAAGGTAACACTAATTCTGCTTCTAGAGTAATGGAGGCACTAAAACATTTTAGTGAAAGCTTGTAAGCTAACATGGATAAGTCCAATTTGTTCTTGACAAGAATAGACGACCAGACCTTAGATCAACTGATGAGGAAGATAGGGTTCATCATAGGTCCTTCCTATAAGATATCTAGGCTTACCTTTGTCTTCTAAGGGTGGGAGTAAGATGGAGTGTCAACAATTGAAATACAATACAACATCCGAGATCACTAGTGCTTATTCGAAGCAATTGTCCTATGCATGATAGACTTCAAATAATTAATGTTGTCGTTTTCCCAATACATAGCTTTTGGAGTTCTGTTTTAATATTGCCTCAGAGTGTATTAAAGAATATGGATGAAAATTTTTAAATATTATTTGTGAGTTTAGAAAGAGCTAAACTAGAAATAGCTAATTGAGAATTAGGCAAGTTAGTTTTAAATTGTGAAATTTTGGATCAACTTCAAATAATCATAACTTTCGGCATAGGATGATTTAGATAGACCATTAGATATCAAATGAAAGATCTTTGAGTCCTCTTTCCAATACCATAGATTTTGCTAAATTCTAAATTCGGATGAGAGAGATATGCTCGTTTGAGTTCAGTCTTCCAATTGAGTATTTTGGTCTTCTCCTTGCCCACACTTATCCCACACGTTTTCCCACCCAAATTAGGGTTCAAAGCTAATTAAAACCAGTTTACTCTAAAATCTAAAAACGTCTGAAATTTAAGGGCAAAGTTCAAGAGAAAAGGGAGAAAAACTTCATGCATTCAAGATTCTTGGCATTTTTGAGGAATTTCCCCAAGGATTTGATCCTTACGAGATATGTAAGATTTCATCGTGATGGATTTTTCCACCCTCACACTAATTATGAATTTTTATTAAATTTTATCCATGAAGATCCGTGTATTGAGATTCTTGATGAATTTCTTGAGGTTTTATTCTTATTTTTATTGCAAATGGGGTTGTGATGAGTTCTTGAGGCGATGGTTTTGAGGATATTTGAGTAGATTTTCGTTTTACTTATGTTGGGTATTTGAATCTAAGAGAGTTTGGAAGAAATTAATTTATTCTATCAAAAAATTGAGAAGAAAAATTAATCAGAATATTCTAGGAAGGAGGTGGCGCGACGCGCCATGGATGTGCCAGGAGGGCTGGCGCACCACACCTCCAGTGCGC